ATATGGGTAAAATCGAGTCTAAGCTGTCCTCAGACGGTGTTCTTTCCATCACTGCTCCGAAAGTAGCTGTTGGGGAAATACAACACAAGAGTATTGCCATCGAACAAACAGGCCAACCTGCAAAACCAGTAGAAGGAGCAAAAGGAGCTGGTGAGAAGTGAAATTAAAATGTTCACTAGATTTTCAAATCATAATTTCTTGTGTAGTTCATAGTATTATTGTGTGTACATTTTATAGATACTATTCGTATAAATTCATCTTTGTATTTACAAATCCTCTTAGTTTGTAGTATTGTAAGACTGATTTCATCTAATGTTTAATTTTTTTGTATTTTGAATATAAAATACTATCAATAAATACTTATATGGTGTTTTTATTTTTTTTTATTTTTATTGAGAGTTTATTATAAATTCTTAATATTTTTCTATCTTGTTTTATCCACTTCTGTGTTTGGTGGTTTGTATACAACTGTAACTTATTTGCCAGTAAATTAATCTTTTTGTCTTCTCAGTTGTAGTTGAAACACACTAAAATCTAATTTAAATTAGACCATCTCTTATGTGCAACCGTTACTTTAGATTTCTTAACTCTAAAAACTTATCCTAGCTTCATGTTCATTCAACATTCCTATCTAAATGCATATTTTTCTTTCCTTAATTTACATAAAGTGTTTCTCTTTTTTCTTTTATGATAATGTTCTGTTCATTATTGTTGTTACTGTTATGTTAGTTATTCGAAAGAGTGTAGATGCTCACATTTTTATAGTTATTCTTTTGGTTATTCTGTTGACCCAGCATATTTGTAGTAAACAGCAAAAAAACCTCATTTAAAATTAGTATAATTCTCTAATGTTATGTCTTCAAAGTCCAACTTTCCTCCTAATAACGAATTAAACGAAGAGAATTAAAAAAAAAATTGTATGTCTCATAATTGCTTATTAGGGTTGTTTAATAAGTTGTTCAGTTGATAATGTCATTAGTTAGCTTAAAAATTCATATATTCTAGTGTATAACATATAATGCATACCCTATTAATAAATTATATACAATAGAATGTAGCTTCTTATAATGAGAGGGAGGAACAGAAAATTTTTTTCTGTATGATAAAAATTATGCAAATCTTTGCTTACATTTTTTAACTTCCTTACACCATATATCACATGATCCAGTAAATATATTATCTCTTTTTATCCCTTATCTATATCTTTAATATAGCAATAATTTTATTATGGTTTCCATATTTAGCTTGAAAGAAATTATTTGTTAGGGTTCTTAGATACTTGTTTTGTTTGATTGACTAAACCCACACAACTTTGGTTAAAGTTATGTATGGTATGATAGTTATATTATTTGTATATTTTTTATATTTAAACTTTTTTATTTACACTTTGTGATGGATTCAAAAATTTGGACTTACATGTTGAATTATCTGTAAAAGTTTAAATTTGAAATCAGATTTGCTATAAATTAAGCCTAATATAAATACCCTACTCTATGTTACAAGTACCTAAATTGATAAGAATAAAGTACTATGAAATTGCTTAATTTATTATCATACTATAATAAAGAAACAGACAGCTAGAATAAGGCATTTTCTATCTATCCACAATGTTGAAGATAATGTCGAGATAATTAGATAAACCAGTGGATAAAGTAGATAGATCTACTTAAAGAAGTATCTACTTAATTACAGTAATGACATTACCAGTTACCTAAAGAGGTTTTCGTCAAGGTCGCATAATATCTTCTCTGTTATTGAAGGTTTACAGCAACAAAATAATAAAGAATGCTCTATATAACTGTGAAGAAGGCCTGACAAATACAAATAGGTACCTAGGTTTCCAGATTAATGAAAACTCAGTTAATATTAAAGAGGTTCAGGCAAGAATCGAACAAGCCAGAGCATCATTTATCAAAATGAAACCAGTTTTGTGTCGTCACGATCTTATATGTACACAATAATATGTACCTATTGAGAATTTTGTATTATGTGGTGGTAGTTTGGACCCTTACTAGCGCCATGTGTAAAAAACTGGTAGTCTTTGGAAAACACCAAACTGGAGATTTTTGGAGCTACCGTAGGATATGCTAAAAATATCATGCTTGGACACGAAGCAGTCCCTCTAAGATTGAGAATATTCCAATATTACGAGAATTACGAACATATTTTTGAAACTGATATTGTTTTTTTTATTGTTTTACCTATTTCTTCTTACATAAAAACGCATTATACAAATAAGAAAGTATTGAACTGCATGGAAAACAATATTTTAAACAATATTTTGCAGGTCTCTTGGGCATGTACACCATAAATCTGCATTTGTAAATATTAACCTGAGATTTATTATATGTATTGCATCTAATATTCAGTGTTTTGAATGTAAACGGAATAACCGAGAGTTAATTTGCAACCGTCAGTATAAACCAGATAAACAAATATTTATTATTAAGTTTAAGTTATAGTAAATGTTTTGTACCAAGTTTAATAGAAAGCGATTTTAAGAGGAAATTTCGGTTATGGGTTTAGATTGATATAAAAGACCATAGTTAAAGACAATTATAAGAGACATACAGACAATTATAAAACAGAATTCGGGAATTCAAAAACTGGTGTGGAAATGTTTGTATTTCATTCATTGTCGATTTTATCTCTCGTTGGGTGATTTCTTTGTTCTGGATGTTTAATGTCCTGTTTTAGGCTTTCTGCCTCTTCAGGACGTGGTTTGTTTTTGTGTGGTGGTTGACTGTTATTTTTTGTCGTGGATCTACTGGTGTTTGCTGACTGGTCGTCGGAGGAGCTCCTGGACAATCAGAGGCGAAAGGCATTGGATAACGGTTCCTTTAATGGTAAAAAATTTAATGGTTTAACGGTAAAAAATAATTAGTAGATGTGTGAAATTATGTGAATAAAATTTGATAATATAGATATTAGATCTATACTCGATGCACGGCCTTATGAATGCTTTGTATGTGTGAATGAGTGATCGTGGATGTGTTCTTCCGAATTTGCCACAAAGATCATTGAGTAGTCCGAGTCTGTCCCTGGCCTTGTTACAGGCTATGTCCAGATCGGCCTTCCAGTTCAGTGTTTAGGTAAACACTACACCGAGGTAGTCGATCTGGTCACGGAGCTGTAGTCGATCTCCCCAAAGTCTAAGATTGTACCTTGCAAAAATACACCACCTGTCGACCAGGTTAAGGTGATTTTGAACAAACCCAAGAACTGAGTCAACGTCTCGTGCTGTTGTTACGAGAGCTGTATCGTCTGCGTAGAGCAAAGTGGTGGCGTTCTGTAGCGAGGGTTAGGAAAGTCACTGTTGTATATTATGTATAATATGGGAGCCAACACTGAACCTTGTGGTACTCCTGCTGTAGGAGTAAAAGAATCAGAGAATTGATCCCGCTCCTTTACCGTTATTAGCAGATGAGAGACATATGAATGGATAAGTCTGACGAATGAGAGTGGCAGGCCGATGTTCAACAGTTTCTTGACCAGTCCCACATGCCAAACTTGGTCAAAGGCTTTTTGAACATCGAGAAAGATGCCTAGTGAAACTGTTCCGTCGTTCAGACTTTGTGAAAGGTGTGTGACGATTTCTGTCAATGCCGTTTTGGTAGAGTACCCTTCTCTAAAGCCGAATTGGAATGATGGGATTATGTGTTCGGTGGTAAAGTCAACGAGTCTCTCCTTGAGGATCCTCTCGAAGACCTTAGCAAGAACGTTTATGAGTGATATCGGCCTATAAGAGTGTAAGTCGGTACGAGCTTTGCCCTTTTTCAAGAGCATGATTGTATTGGCTACTTTCCAAGAAGATGGAAAGTAGCAGAGTTTGAGAGTGGCATTGATTATGTTCGTCAGGTAAAGAGTGACGCTCGGTGGGAGTTGTTTCACGCAGTTCCTGGTAATGTTGTCAGGTTTTGGTGCGTTCGAATTGCCAATTTGACAAATATTATTGAAAGTTTGTTGATCCAGAGGTGCCATGGTAGAGTGATCATGTGGCGCCTGCGGATCGAAGGGGGCGCCAAGCTGTCGTGTGATGTCTCTCTCGGTCCTTGTACGGAAGGCGAGGTCAAATCTAGGATCGTTTCTGAAGATTAGGGTGCTTGGTAGCTGGGTTTTGAAGGCGTCGGCCTTCTGTTGATTAGAATTGATGATTTGGTTGTTTACCAGGAAGGTGAGAAGGGTTATTGGTTTTCTGTTTGGGTAGGCATTTCAATTTATGCTATATCGCGCCACCGTCGCGATAATCAAGACTAGAGGTGGCCGCAATCCATTAGCTGGCTTGCAGATTGTTCACCTGTAGTTTGATTACCGCATTCTGTTTTGACTAGGGGGATGCGGGTACGTTGAAAAGTCGTCTGTTTTGATTTATTTTATTGATGATCTGCTGAGGTAGAGGTGGTCTACTAGGCTTCTACTTCTACTGCTTGATTTATCAGTTCAGTGATGACCGTGATACCTTGATCGAGATCATCAGGCTGTGTTAAGTTGCCTAACTCAGGAGTATTAACTGATAGAAAGGTTTTGAAGAGGTCCCAGTTGGCGTGTTTGTCTCTGGTTTGTAGTCTCTTATTATTTTGGGAGGGTTAGGAGGTAAGGGGTTAAATATCTGTTCCTTAACCAACAAGGGTGGATGTTCCGATGTAATCGAGTTACCCAGAAAACATTCGTCATCCAGTAAGTCAATCACATCGTATGTACACACCATGTTACATGATGTATGACATAAAAATCGGTTCACGGTTACGAATTTGGTGTAGGGAGTGAATTTTTTTATTTTGCCACCTTCTATTATTTATGTACATATATGCATAGGCAACCAACGATTCACCATCCCATCAAAAATTCGATTGATCATTCCGATTCGTTACCGTTCCTGAAAATTCCAGTAGACATTTCTTCAATTTAAGTGAACCAATCAGCGTTTAGAAGATGAATATATTGATGTTCTAGCATATTCTTGACATTTCCATATTCAAATTCAAAACAAATATCAAATACAAATTTGTGTATAAAATGCCGGGTGATTGGTGTACGATTAAATTATTAGTATTCCAATAAAAAGTTAGTTGTTACTTCAATCTGTTAAAAGAGTTAAATTATTAGTGTTTTGTTATTCAGTTAGTTTGTTGAAAAGTATTCAAAATGGCTTTTATTCCTATAATATGCCAAGAAAATACCTTGGTTCCCCATTGCCGGCGTCGTCGTATTGGGGTACCTCATCGACATTTTGTTAATGACATTACGGAGGATGTATTGAATTCAATTGCAATAGCTCAATCATTATTTGGTACAGAATATGACCGAATAAATTCCGAGGTAATGAGAGAAAATTCTATGCTAAACCGACCCAGATCATCTATTACAATTGATAAACAAAAATTCCAAGCCAATTTTGATGTGCAACACTTCAAACCTGAAGAAATTACTATCAAGGTAAATGGTGACAGGAGCATAACTATTGAAGCCAAGCATGAGGAGAAACAAGATGAGCATGGTGGAATTTACAGGCATTTTGTTAGAAAGTATAAGTTACCAGATAATTGTGATATAGAAAAGATAGATTCTAAGTTGTCATCTGATGGTGTCTTAAGTATTACAGCTCCTACTATTAGTGAACAATCTTCAGGCCACAGAACCATTCCTATTATTCAAACTGGAAAGCCTAAATCAATGCAGCAATTGTGGCAGGTTGAACAAATGACAATATGAAGAGATGGCAGTGTAAGTGATATTTTCGAAAAATGTTACAGGAAATCTCTTGTATTATAAAGACTGAGTTTTAAATGTATTGTTAATTCCATTTTTTTGTATTTATTGCATTATAATAATTTTTTATTAAATATACCTATTCAAAAAATACCAACATACAGAGTTTTCATTTACTTTAGTAGTAAGAAATCAAAAGTGATTCATTGTCTGGCTTAAAATATATTTTTAAATTACTACTTCTATTTAAATTACTTCAATTTTACAGAAAGTTTTAGTTTAGTCACATCTAGTGATCCACTTTTTTTTCATTGTTTATGTCAAAATTTGTTTTGTTTCAAAATAGTTTTTCTTCCTTAAGTGCCGATTTTCATGACAAATGTTACCTATTATCAGCTCAATCTGCTTTGTCAACAGCTTTTCTAAAAAGAGTCATACAGATTCAATACCATTGTCTAAGGTTCAACCTAGAGCTCTCATTCCTTCTATTGTTAATTTTAGGAGTTCTTGTATGTGATTTCTTAAGATGTGGCCAATATGTTTAAGCTTGTGATATTTATAGTAAATAAAACTTCATGTTTCTTAACCAATCTTTAAAGGACTTAATATTTTGAGCATTCTATTGTAGCACCAAACCATAAAGGCTACCAGTTTTTTACTATTTCCCCATAACTCTAGTAAGGGTCCAAGTTACCATACCATAATACAAAATTTTCAATACATAGCAGCTCAGCATCTAAATTCATAGCATCATTCAATGATCATGTCTAAACAAAACTGGTTTTACTGTAATAAATGATGCCCTTGTTCCATTCTTGCATGAATCTCTTGCATTTTATTCCAGTTTTCATTAAGCTGGCAATGTAGGTATTTATAAAATTAAATCTTGTCCCTCCTTCATAGCTATAGAGAGCATTCTCTATTACTTTGATGCTGTAAACATTGAATAACAGTGGAGATAGTATTCAACCCTGACAAACACCTCTTCTAATTCTGACTTCTTCAGGTAACTGGAAATCAATTTTTTGTATAGTTTGTTGTGTTTGCTAAATGTTTATTTAGCTATCTACTTTATCTAATAATAATTCTAATCAATTTAGGTACTTGTAACATACAATAGAATATTTATAATAAGCTTCAATCATAGCAAATCTGATCTCAAATTTTAAGTTTTGCAGATAATTCAACATGTAAGTCCAAATTAATACATAACTTTAACCAGAGTTGTGTGGGTTTAGTCTTTAGTTGATCAAATAAAATAAGTTACATCTAAGAACCCTAAAAAAATTTCTTAAAAACGAAATGTTCATATAGGAACCATCAATTGAGAACCTTATTGGGCAAATTATTAATACATAAAAGGTGTCGATGTAGGCATAAAAATTGTTAATATATTTACTGGATCATATAATGATGTAAGGAAATTAAAAAAATGTAAATACAAATTTTTGTTATCTTTATCATACAGAAAACACTTTCTGTACTTCCCTCTCATTGTAATAACCTATATTCTAGAGTATGTATTGTACATGTACATTATACACTAGAATAGATGAATTTTTAAGCTAATGGCATTATCAACTGAACAACTTTTTTAGAAAACATTAAACATTCCAATAAACAATTATGAGAATGAGACATATAATTTGTTTTCCATTCTTTTTCTCTATTGGGAGGAAGGTTGGACCTTGAATACTTATGAAATTAGACTACATAATTTGAAATGAGGATAATTTCCTGTTTACTACAAATATGCTGGGTGGACAGAATAACAGATTATATCTAAGAAAAAATGTGACAATCTATATTTTTTTCGAATAACTAACATAACAGTAACAAGAATGAACAGAACATTATCATAAAAGAAAAACAATTTGTCTTTAGCCACACATTTAGTAAAAAAATATGCAAAAGATAAGATTAAAAGGACATTAAGCTAAAAAAATTTTTCAGGGATAAGAAATTAAAAGGAATTATTGCACATACGAGATGGTCCATCTCAAAGATTAGATTTATTTGCAAAGAAGTTTAAATTCTGTACAAACCATTGAACACAGAGTTGTATAACTCATTAAAATGTATTATAACTGTCTGTATATAAATAATTGTTCCTATATCCATTTTAGAGTTTTCATTCATTGATCTTTAAAAATTCAGGAATCTAGGGACATTAAAATAAAAACACCATGTTTATTGCTATTATTTTATATTGAATATATTATAAAAAACATAAAATGAAATCAGTCTTATAATACAAACTAACAGGATCTGTCAATACATGGATGAATTTATACTAAATAGTATCTGAAAATTGTACACAAAACTATGAACTACAAAAAGAAATGAAATGACAAAATAATAAAAATGAAAGTCACTGATGATTGATAATTTAAAATCTGCCAAATTTTACTTCTCACCAGCTCCTTTTCCTCCTTCTACCGATTTTGCAGGTTGGCCTGTTTGTTCGATAGCAATATTCTTATGTTCTATTTCCCCGACAGCTACTTTCGGAGCAGTGATGGAAAGAACACCATCTGAGGACAGCTTTGACTCGATTTTACCCATATCGTAATTTTTAGGCAAAACATATCTTCTGATGAAGTGTCTGTAAATATGCCCATGTTCATCCTCTTTTTCTTCGTGTTTTCCTTCAATAGTAACCTCTCGATCTCCTGTTACTTTCACAGATATTTCTTCAGGTTTAAATTGTTGAACATCCAGGTTGGCCGAGAATTGGTCTTTTCCATAATTTACTGTAGAGCCGGAATCATTTCCAGACGATGCAGACTGCCAATTTCTGAGGTAACCGGCAGGGCATCTGAGGAACTGTTTGGAGACGGGTTGTATCAAATCTTCTGGCTCCAAAACTAGTCCAAAATGTTGATCAAATAGTCTTGATGGTCTTGTATAGTAGCTATCACTAAACAAATATGGAAGTAGAGACATACTTCACTAATGTGCTAATACTTTGTAAATAACAAAATGACTTGTTTTTCACCTTTGGATGTATTTTTCAGTTTGAAACTCACTCACTGACACTAATTGTCTGACTGAATTGACAGGACAACCGGCAACAAGCGATTTATATCCGAGTTCATACGACACCGAATATTCTCGCGAATGTTCAAGAAAATCGATATCTTTAATATGGTACGGAATTCGCCCGAGAATTATCTAGAATACAGTTGAATACCATTCGGATATATCTGGTAGTGGCTACTACTACAAACTGAGTAAAAAATAAAGAAGAATTTGTTATGATTTAAATTTTATATTACAATATTATGTTGTTTATTTGAATAGAAAACTTATGAACACAATGGCTTTATCGGTTTTAGCACATTAAATAGAAAATATTGATTAAAAATCGAACAATATGGTATATAAATAAGCTCTATTAGAAGTAAACAATACTGCGTAAAGAAAAGCAGGAGTTAATTCAAATGAAATACAGAAACTATCATTTATGCGTAAAGTCGAACTTTATTTTGTGTAAAATTTTTAAATTTAAATAAAAAATACAAAAAAACCTGTTATTTTCATGGCATTGTAATGAATTAGAAAATTTTGGTATTCGGGATTTTGAGTTCAATAGTAAAAATATATTACAGCAAATGTTCTTTAATTTCAAGACTGATTTTTGAATGCATTACTTATTCCATTTTTTGTATTGTATCATTTTTTAGTTAAATACATTTACGATAGGTTAACATTGTGATGTTTCATTTAATTTGTAATATTTAGAAAACGAAACAGAAAAAAAATTAGGAACACAGGCGATTTTTATTTTTTGCCCCATATTTTTTTCCACGGGAGTATTATAGGTATAGGCATTGATTTACATAAAAAAACTTTTATCCGTATCCTTCAAAATGACATTTGCGTATAAAGTCTTAAAAATTCACAGTATCCGAGATACGATTTTTCAAAAGGGTACGTTAAATATAAAGAAAAATAATTACCTTTAAAATGGTCTACAGTAGAAAGCACTAGGACTAATTTTAGGCAAGATACGTTTCTTCAAACTTTTCTACTGATGATTTTTACTATTTACTACAAAAAGCAAAAATTGCGTACGAAAGCTACACTCTAACTCTTTAAAACCTATTTTAGTTTTTGTTGATAGGACACACTGGTCAAAAGCTATCGCATTTTTACAGTCGAGTACAAATTTTATTTAAAAAATTGATTTCGCACGCGTAAAACATTTAAAATCACCAGTCGCTTCAAGTGTTGTTTCTGAGAGAACGGTTCACTCTACAGAAAAAGTGTTAATAAATATTTTTGTTCAAAATTATCTCAGCTATATTTCTTGTTTCCCCCATCCCTATGAGGATGGCATTAGGGGTATTTTTTCTGTCTTTTTGTTTGGAATCATATTTAGAGATTCAGTGGCATTTTCGCCTCTGACGACTTCTACTGAAGTATTATTTCCTAGTATATTTAGATACATAGGGGAAGGACGTGTACCTCTGGACGTTTGAACGTTTGTACAAGCAAGTTGCAGGCCGAGAATGGCTAGTTCAATATAGAATTAAAAGGCCGGCGTTATCTCTAAGGAAACCGGAGGCGACAAGTTTAGCTAGAGGCACTAGTTTTAATAAAAACAATGTTGAGCAATTACCCTGATGTTATGAAGACGTATCAATTTGTCCCTGAACGTATATATAACTTGGATGAAACTTCAAATTTTACAGTACACAAACCATCTAAAATATTAGCGCCTAAGACTATTAAACAACTTGGGAGATTAACCTCCGCAGAAAGGGGAATTAATGTTACAATGATAGCTTGTATAAGTGTAGCAGGTCAAACTATCCCACCATTATTTGTATTTCCTCGTGTGCATTATAAAGACCACATGACAAATGGAGGTCCACCTGGACGCATTGGAGCAGCAAATCCTTCAGGATGGTCGACAGCAACGATTTTTCTGCAATTTTTGAAACACATAACATCTTAAACTAAACTTACCCAGGAAAATCCGGTGTAGTTTTATTAACAATTCATCCACATACATCGAATAAAATGCAGCCCTTGGGCCGATGGGTTTTTGGTCCATCTAATTGCAGTAAAAGCTTATCTACAAGCATTTACACCAAAAAATATTGTTAAAAGTTTCGAGGTTACAGGTTTGTGACCAGTTAACACCAATATTATTACAGAAGAAGAATATCTGCATTCGTATCTCACAGATCGACGGAAGACAAAAATGGTGTTTAAATTTACTTCATCTAGCGCTCCTGGGGACCCAACTTTTAATTGTTTGACTTCAATCCCAGCTGAACATTTATCTACCCGTCTACTTCCGTTTCTATTCCTATTCCATCAACTTCCGTTTCTATTCCTGTTTCGTCTACTTCTTTTCAAGCTCATCATGACTTCAGAGTCTTTAGCTGCACTACAGCTTGAATATATGTCACCTGTAACCGATCTCCCTTTCAATATGTCTAGAGTCTATAGCTCCGTTTCCAAAAGCGTCACCTGGAAAGATTTACAAGGCAAAGAAATGCGTAAGAAAGGAAAAACTAAAATGTTAACCAGGACACCAGTGAAACTTGCTATTATGTCCGAGCTGCTTATCAGAAAGAAAAAATTAACGACAATAGAAAAAGAACTCAAGGAAAAAGTAAAAAAGAAGCTGATTAAACTTCCTTCTAGTTCTTCATCTGATAGTAAAGATGACGATCTAATATCCTCCTGTGGCACGTCTGATGAAATGGATTATAATTATATGGTTGAAGAGCATGATTTTCCTGAGTTTCAATCAGAAATGGATCTTCATATAGTAATAGGAGACTTTATTTTGGTTAAACTCCGCTCTAAAAAGTTGGTTAAACATTATGTAGCTAAAGTACTGGAAACGATTGATAATGATGTATTGTATTGTAAAGTTTTATGAGAAAACGCAATAAAACTTCCATTTTATAGAAGGAAAAGAAGAACCATATGCATTCGATTTTTAAGATATAGTGCTTAAGTTACCACTGTCTCAAAGTGTGGAAGCATCAAAAAGGTTTATCTCTCATATTAAATTCAACATTTATTTTGACAATTATACTTTTTGACAATATGTTTTAATATAAGTATCATTTAAATAATATTTTATTATTATTTTAGTTGACTTTATCAACTTCTCTACCAGTTCAAAGGTAGACGTAGGGGCTGCCCCTTTGGACGATATGACAGCATTTTAACAAATGCATGTTGATTTTAAAATGGTGCAACTTATAGATTATACAAAATTCACGATAATTCAAAACAGTCTGATAAACACGTTGCATAAAAAGATTTCTTTTCTTAGCATTATAATTTGTCTAATAAAAAAATCCAAAAGTAACATTTTGTGAAATGTCCAGAGGTACACGTTCTTACTCTACAAATTGTTGCAAGTATCACAATTTGAGGAACCATGTTAGTCCTAGAATATTTTATAAGTAGGTATAGAAAATACCTAAACTTTTTTTTATTTAGTAATTCATATACCTAAATGTACAAGAAAAAAAGTTACAATTAGAAATTTAACCACTTTCAACTTTGAAGCCGACAACTTTGAAGAACCGTATCTTGTTTATAATTAGTCCTAGAGCCTTCTAGTGTAGACCATTTTAAAGGTAATTGATTTATTTTTCCATTAAATGTAGCAATATATGTACAGTTGCGGTCACGGAATAGTTTACACCTTACTTTTTATATTGTAATACTGTAAAATTGCAGTGTCGTACGGATTTGATAAATGTCAAAGTCAAAAAATTTCAAAACGTCAATGCTTTCGCGAATGTTCAACAATAAAATAAAAGTATATTAAACTCTTCCAAAATGGTTAGAATACATTTGAATTATGCGCAAAAAGCAAGAGCAATTGCCAAACTCGAAGAAGGTTGGTCACTAAGGCAAGTTGCTGCTGATTTGAACGTGGGTCATATGTGCATATGGAAGATTAAACAAAGATGGGATAATTTTCACTCTATAGCACGGTTGGGCGGTTCAGGAGGGCAGAAGATTTCCACAGATCAACAGGATGAGATGTTAGTAGATTATTTGAGAGAATCTCCTTTTGCCACAGCTCAAAAGGCAAGAGAAGAGGCAGCGTTTCCAGCAGTATTCGCACTGCACGTCGAAGAATTAAAGCAAGTGGACTGCTAAATTGTGTAGCTGCACGGAAACCTTTTTTGACTGAGGATCACAAGAGGAGACGAGTTGAATTTTGTAATGAATTTATAAACCGCGATTTTTTGGTCTAGGGTTGTATTTTCCGATGAAAAAGTATTTCAGTCGTATAATAATGGTCGAATAAGAGTTTATAGGCCGAGAAATCATAGGTATGATGAACAGTATACGCATCATTTAAGAAATAGTGGAGGATTCTCTGTCAACGTATGGGGATGGATAAGTGCCGAAGGCCCGGGCGTTTGTTATCATGTAGAGGAGAAGTTAACAGGATTATATTACAAACATATTATTGAGCACACAATGTTGCCATCGGTGATCCAGAGATTCCCCAACAACGACTTTATCTTCCAACATGACAATTGCCCGGTGCATACGAGTAGAATTGTTCGAGAATGGCTAGAAGAAACTGATGTTAATGTTCTTCCGTGGCCTTCCCGTAGTGCAGACTTTAACCCCGTCGAAAATGTGTGGGCAGAGTTAACAAAGAAACTAAATGAAAGAAACCTTAGACCACGGAATAGAATTGAATTATGGGAAGCAATTGAGCAGGCATGGGAAGAGCTTGTTAACTATAACATGAGGGGATTGGTGCTATCTATGAACAGAAGACTGCAAAATTGTATTGACAAGAATGGGGCTTCCACCAAATATTAATTATTATTTATCATTGTTTATCGTTATTTAATATAAAATAGATTTAAAATAAAATGCATATTAAAAAAAAGACTTTTTTATTTTCGTTATTAAGATCATAATCCATTTTATTCAAAAAACTGTTTTCTATATTTTTCATTTTGTAAAATATTTTGATATTTTAATTTTAATCTACCTATTCTAGCTAGTACACCACTGGCAACGTCAC